ACTGTCGTCTCGAAATAAATGCACCACTCATGATTTCAAATTTCACCTCTAAACGTTCAATTGCCTATTCTTGCCCAGATTCCAATTTTATGATGATAGAGTTGATGTATTCTTTTGCCTTATCAATGGATTTGGTGATGGATATTACAACATCAATTGTTCCATTAACTAAACCGATGGTCACATCGATGTTTCGTCTTAACATGATTGTGNTTTTCTGATCTGACTAGATCATACCACTTGCAAAATTCGTAAAGACTTATAGACTCGAGCTTTTTTGGTCGATTGGGATGATGATCATCAATCAATGATGGACAAAATATATCTGTAGATTCTTTGTCTAGCTTAGCGATTTCGTCGTGATGCNCTCTTCTGTATGAATTTCTTCCAACATTATGGTATTCAAACATTCGCATTGTTTACATGTTGCTAGTAAACACACCGCGTCTGGTGGCTAATTTCTTATGTACAGAGCTAGAAGATGGATGCGATTCGAAGTTTTCGATGAGCCGATGTCAAGTTTCTGCGTTTCCAATAATGCGACGTCTTCAGCTGTCATACTAACAACCCTTCAACGAGATAAAAGATTTCCATACACTTTATCCTTCTGCTGACGCATATTGATTGTCAATTCATCGTAGCTGAATAAATCGACCCAAAGATTGACACTACACATAGATCCTAACCGTTTTTCGACTGCATTTGATGGGATTTTCATATATGGTGGATCTTGACGAACAGGGGGTAGTTGTAACAAATCTCCGAACACGAGAATATGTTTTTTACCGAACCATCCATCAGTCTGTTCGAATGTATTAAATATTTCCATGAGTCGTTGATTGATGTACATCAAGGTAGTATTAGACACCATTGATATTTCATCAATGATAATGAGCTTGACGTCTCGCATCTGTTCACGCATTAGTTTCAATAAATAATCGGATAATTGCTTATATTTTGGAGTATCATCATGTTCTATTAGAAGTTGGAAGTATCTGTGAATAGTCAATCCATTGACATTATAAGCTGCAATACCTGTGGGAGCTGTAACTGCACTCTGTCCATTCAACTCTTTCGCGATCCATGTTTGAATGACCTCAATTAAGAAACTCTTACCTGTGCCACCTTCACCGCTGATATAAAGGCGTAATATTTCCTCCTTGAAAGTCAAAATATGTTTCACTTTTTCGAATATTCTCTTTTGATCAACATTCATTTGGGATATCATGGCATCCAAATCTACACTCTTTGTTACTTTTTCATCAATATCATGGAATTCTTTCATAGCCATTTTGCCTTCCTTTGGATCATTCCTCACTTATATCCCAGGTGATTGCGTTATCCCTTCATTCGATTTTTCCAGTTCATCACGAATTTTCTCGGAAATGTAATCTATTTCTTTTTGGAAATCTTCCATTTGTTTAGAATATTCACAAGCCTTTCTCAGGGACTCTTTTTCATTTTCAAATGCATCAGTATAAGTCGAAAAGCCTCTTTTCAACTCGTCTGTATCTCTCCATGGTGTGAACAGGAGTAATAACGTGAAGAAATATTTCTCAGGTTCAGTATTGATATCGTTTCTCCAGTGATTGATCAAATAACCTCGTTCACGTCTTTTCAAGAATAACGAAGAACCCAGAGTGTAGTATTCCACACCTTTAGCTTTTTTTTCTGATCTGACTAGATCATACCACTTGCAAAATTCGTAAAGACTTATAGACTCGAGCTTTTTTGGTCGATTGGGATGATGATCATCAATCAATGATGGACAAAATATATCTGTAGATTCTTTGTCTAGCTTAGCGATTTCGTCGTGATGCTTTACTTTTCGATTCCGTACCATCCTTACATCCAACCACTTAATAGTTGTGTTAGAGTCTGTTCCGTATAAAGAAATTGATAACAGCGTATCGGAGGCTTCAAGAGCTCCGATTTCTCGATTGTGGAGAGCACGCATTCCAATATTCCATAATTTTTGCCTTATAGTTTTCGTTGACGTTGCATCCTTTATAACTGTTGAAGACTTCGAGACTTCATGTTTCGTTGAATATTTCANCATCTGTTCACGCATTAGTTTCAATAAATAATCGGATAATTGCTTATATTTTGGAGTATCATCATGTTCTATTAGAAGTTGGAAGTATCTGTGAATAGTCAATCCATTGACATTATAAGCTGCAATACCTGTGGGAGCTGTAACTGCACTCTGTCCATTCAACTCTTTCGCGATCCATGTTTGAATGACCTCAATTAAGAAACTCTTACCTGTGCCACCTTCACCGCTGATATAAAGGCGTAATATTTCCTCCTTGAAAGTCAAAATATGTTTCACTTTTTCGAATATTCTCTTTTGATCAACATTCATTTGGGATATCATGGCATCCAAATCTACACTCTTTGTTACTTTTTCATCAATATCATGGAATTCTTTCATAGCCATTTTGCCTTCCTTTGGATCATTCCTCACTTATATCCCAGGTGATTGCGTTATCCCTTCATTCGATTTTTCCAGTTCATCACGAATTTTCTCGGAAATGTAATCTATTTCTTTTTGGAAATCTTCCATTTGTTTAGAATATTCACAAGCCTTTCTCAGGGACTCTTTTTCATTTTCAAATGCATCAGTATAAGTCGAAAAGCCTCTTTTCAACTCGTCTGTATCTCTCCATGGTTTGAACAGGAGTAATAACGTGAAGAAATATTTCTCAGGTTCAGTATTGATATCGTTTCTCCAGTGATTGATCAAATAACCTCGTTCACGTCTTTTCAAGAATAACGAAGAACCCAGAGTGTAGTATTCCACACCTTTAGCTTTTTTTTCTGATCTGACTAGATCATACCACTTGCAAAATTCGTAAAGACTTATAGACTCGAGCTTTTTTGGTCGATTGGGATGATGATCATCAATCAATGATGGACAAAATATATCTGTAGATTCTTTGTCTAGCTTAGCGATTTCGTCGTGATGCTTTACTTTTCGATTCCGTACCATCCTTACATCCAACCACTTAATAGTTGTGTTAGAGTCTGTTCCGTATAAAGAAATTGATAACAGCGTATCGGAGGCTTCAAGAGCTCCGATTTCTCGATTGTGGAGAGCACGCATTCCAATATTCCATAATTTTTGCCTTATAGTTTTCGTTGACGTTGCATCCTTTATAACTGTTGAAGACTTCGAGACTTCATGTTTCGTTGAATATTTCATGCAGTATTGTGTCAAGAGTGATGATGATTCTCCAATGAACTGGATATCCATATTTCCTTCCCATGCTATGAGAATAGCAGGGTTGTAATCATTGGTGTTAATTTCTTTTTCGGTTCGTGGAAGATCATAAAATCTCGATTTGGTTTTGAGCTTCTTTCTTCCAGCAATTGAAATGGCAGGATCTCGNTTTTGGAGTATCATCATGTTCTATTAGAAGTTGGAAGTATCTGTGAATAGTCAATCCATTGACATTATAAGCTGCAATACCTGTGGGAGCTGTAACTGCACTCTGTCCATTCAACTCTTTCGCGATCCATGTTTGAATGACCTCAATTAAGAAACTCTTACCTGTGCCACCTTCACCGCTGATATAAAGGCGTAATATTTCCTCCTTGAAAGTCAAAATATGTTTCACTTTTTCGAATATTCTCTTTTGATCAACATTCATTTGGGATATCATGGCATCCAAATCTACACTCTTTGTTACTTTTTCATCAATATCATGGAATTCTTTCATAGCCATTTTGCCTTCCTTTGGATCATTCCTCACTTATATCCCAGGTGATTGCGTTATCCCTTCATTCGATTTTTCCAGTTCATCACGAATTTTCTCGGAAATGTAATCTATTTCTTTTTGGAAATCTTCCATTTGTTTAGAATATTCACAAGCCTTTCTCAGGGACTCTTTTTCATTTTCAAATGCATCAGTATAAGTCGAAAAGCCTCTTTTCAACTCGTCTGTATCTCTCCATGGTGTGAACAGGAGTAATAACGTGAAGAAATATTTCTCAGGTTCAGTATTGATATCGTTTCTCCAGTGATTGATCAAATAACCTCGTTCACGTCTTTTCAAGAATAACGAAGAACCCAGAGTGTAGTATTCCACACCTTTAGCTTTTTTTTCTGATCTGACTAGATCATACCACTTGCAAAATTCGTAAAGACTTATAGACTCGAGCTTTTTTGGTCGATTGGGATGATGATCATCAATCAATGATGGACAAAATATATCTGTAGATTCTTTGTCTAGCTTAGCGATTTCGTCGTGATGCTTTACTTTTCGATTCCGTACCATCCTTACATCCAACCACTTAATAGTTGTGTTAGAGTCTGTTCCGTATAAAGAAATTGATAACAGCGTATCGGAGGCTTCAAGAGCTCCGATTTCTCGATTGTGGAGAGCACGCATTCCAATATTCCATAATTTTTGCCTTATAGTTTTCGTTGACGTTGCATCCTTTATAACTGTTGAAGACTTCGAGACTTCATGTTTCGTTGAATATTTCATGCAGTATTGTGTCAAGAGTGATGATGATTCTCCAATGAACTGGATATCCATATTTCCTTCCCATGCTATGAGAATAGCAGGGTTGTAATCATTGGTGTTAATTTCTTTTTCGGTTCGTGGAAGATCATAAAATCTCGATTTGGTTTTGAGCTTCTTTCTTCCAGCAATTGAAATGGCAGGATCTCGGAGGATGAATGTGTCGGTTACAGGGCGAGGAAAACCAAATCGACATTTCTTTGTTAGTTTCCCAGACAACTCCTTTCACGTGCGTCAGCAGTAACTGTTATGTTTATGATTTTGATGCGTGATAACTCGGCGATGTAAAGTCGGTGAGATTTTTGGATCAGGCGTTTTACAAGTCACATATTTCATTATAAATTCTGCCACTTCTTCATTTGAATTAATCCCAATAATTGGTGCGCCTTTGACCCACACTAATAAATGGGAATACTGAATGCCTCGGCCTTGATATTCTCTTCGCCAAAAATAATGCTCAATTTCACCGATAGGATGACTATCTGATTGTATAAAATCGAGTAAAGCGTGGAGTTTCATATCAAGGAATCGAGACACTGAAACGGAATCCGCTGCAATGACTTCACCATCAGATAATTTGTCCAAATACGGCGTATTGATTCTGCGGATATATAAGACTACTAGGGGACTTCGCCTCCTGCTCGCTTCGCTCGCTCCCCCCCAATCCAACTGTCAGCCCCCCACCGCGTTTGACCCTGGGACACCCTCCTCTCTTCTAACCCCCCTNAAGAAATATTTCTCAGGTTCAGTATTGATATCGTTTCTCCAGTGATTGATCAAATAACCTCGTTCACGTCTTTTCAAGAATAACGAAGAACCCAGAGTGTAGTATTCCACACCTTTAGCTTTTTTTTCTGATCTGACTAGATCATACCACTTGCAAAATTCGTAAAGACTTATAGACTCGAGCTTTTTTGGTCGATTGGGATGATGATCATCAATCAATGATGGACAAAATATATCTGTAGATTCTTTGTCTAGCTTAGCGATTTCGTCGTGATGCTTTACTTTTCGATTCCGTACCATCCTTACATCCAACCACTTAATAGTTGTGTTAGAGTCTGTTCCGTATAAAGAAATTGATAACAGCGTATCGGAGGCTTCAAGAGCTCCGATTTCTCGATTGTGGAGAGCACGCATTCCAATATTCCATAATTTTTGCCTTATAGTTTTCGTTGACGTTGCATCCTTTATAACTGTTGAAGACTTCGAGACTTCATGTTTCGTTGAATATTTCATGCAGTATTGTGTCAAGAGTGATGATGATTCTCCAATGAACTGGATATCCATATTTCCTTCCCATGCTATGAGAATAGCAGGGTTGTAATCATTGGTGTTAATTTCTTTTTCGGTTCGTGGAAGATCATAAAATCTCGATTTGGTTTTGAGCTTCTTTCTTCCAGCAATTGAAATGGCAGGATCTCGGAGGATGAATGTGTCGGTTACAGGGCGAGGAAAACCAAATCGACATTTCTTTGTTAGTTTCCCAGACAACTCCTTTCACGTGCGTCAGCAGTAACTGTTATGTTTATGATTTTGATGCGTGATAACTCGGCGATGTAAAGTCGGTGAGATTTTTGGATCAGGCGTTTTACAAGTCACATATTTCATTATAAATTCTGCCACTTCTTCATTTGAATTAATCCCAATAATTGGTGCGCCTTTGACCCACACTAATAAATGGGAATACTGAATGCCTCGGCCTTGATATTCTCTTCGCCAAAAATAATGCTCAATTTCACCGATAGGATGACTATCTGAT